TGACACACCGGGACATAGCAAAAATGAATCTGGAGAAGAAGAAGAAGAAGAAGAAAAGGAAGAAGAATATCCGACCGATCAAGAGAAAGAGTCAAAAAAAAAAGAAAAGTATTGCGCCATGTTTAAGAAACAATAATAATTAGAAAACAATCAGCATAAATTTTGTTTGTGTTTTTTTAACCATGTTTTGTTAAATATTACACGCATCATTCATTTTCTATATATATATATATATTAAACTGATGAAAACATATACGATGAAACAATAATAATAAGTAAATACAGAAGACAATTTCGTATAAAACATTTACAATCTTTTGGTACAAAAACAGGTGTTAAAATATTTGTTATACGATGTAATTCATGACAACAACATACAAATATAAATGTTGTTATAATTAAATTTAATGTTGGCATACGTGGAATTACTGTTAATGTTCCATGACCATTAGCAATAAGCCATATATGATATTGTGCAACAAATAATTCTAATGATATTTTACCAAACCATGCAAAAAATGGTGAATAATGTTGACGAATAAATGTTGGAATATTTCGTAATAGTATATAGCTTATAATCTATCAAATAAATTTCGTTTTTTTTTATTTTAAATTTCTTTTAAAAAAATAACTTACTGGTAATATAACAATATATGGATGTATTTCATCACATATTGCTTTATTTGAACATAAAAATAAAACAATAAAATAAATAATTAACCCCAGTAAACTTAATAGACAAAAAATTGTCTTTAATTTTGCAGTTAATTGTTGATATTGTTTACGTTTTATTCCTAAAGTTCTATATGTATCATAATTTTCAATAAATAATATTAAAAAAGCAAAACACATTCCATATAAAACTGTATAACGATCAAGATTCCAACGATGATACCAATCATTTATTGTACCATTACGATCATAATATAAATGTGTTGATGAATTCGCATTATAACGATAAAGATTTGAATATAAATATTGTTTATCATTTAATGATATACCATTCATTGATACAGGACCAACAATACCTTGTCCACTACCTGATATATAATCAAGTAAAGTATTATATTCATTATAATATAATGAACTTTTATCATGAATTAATAATGAATGTAATTGATGAAGACCATTATATGATAAATCCGATTGATCTAATTGTTGAACATAAGCAGCAAGTGATGATGTTATTGTTGAAGTTGTAAATAGATTATTCCATAAATGAAATGTAAAAATTTTTTCGAATACATATGCTGACATACTTAAGACGGTTACAAGGATACCTAAAATAGAATATTAATTATGTCTTAGACTTTGTATTACTTATCACTATTAATGTCAAACATTATTATAAGATAATCAATCAGTATTTTAGATTAGTTTTTGTAAAACTCTATCCTAGTCTAATGATTATTTAATTATACACAAGTAAATTAGACAACTATTCTATCATGTAAAATTCTTACCAATTGATTTATATGGTTTCCTATTATAGTTTTACATAAATCGATCATTTTATTTAGAATAACAAACTCGGAAAATTTATCGTACATAAATGAAAGCAACTCTAATGTTTGTAAGTCACGTAAAATTACGATTTGTTTAATATCTCTTAGCTAAATACTCTTTCGTCGACGCACAGTACTTCTGATTATTTCAAGAAATCAGAATAGCAGTTCGAAAAAATTTATTCAACTTACCCATAAGAAGAAATTTCAATAATAAATATATAAAATGTATTGGTTTCTCTTTGACTGAACTTGCAGATATTCTCGGTGGTATACAAGCTAATATGAAATACATTAAAGAAAAATAAAATGTGATCAATGGTGGATAATAATATGATTGATAATGTCTATTCATTAATAAACATAATGTTATTGTTAAAAAATTATATTTAAATAACATTCGTATAAATGGTAAAAATTGATAATTTCCTGTTGTCCAATAATAATGAAAATGACTATATGCTGATAAGAATAAATAAGCACTTATTAATAATTGTATGGACATTGATAAAACAAGACTTTTTCCTGATGCATCAGTCATTTGATATGCTAGAAGAATAACCATCATCCAACCACGCATTTCATTAATTTGTTCTTTATTTAAGAAACTATTATTATTATTATTGTTATTATTATTTTCATTGATTGATAAAGAATTATTTTCATCATTAGAATCTGAATGTGATTGAATTTGTTCATAATCATTATTATGTATTGAAGAAAATATTGATTTGCTTGTTATATTTGGACTTGTTGTTATTGGTGTTTGATTTGGTGATGAACGATTTGATGTTGTTTTATTGAAATATTTATCATGAAAAAATATTCCTAATACACCAATATATGTTAATGGTAAAAAAAAAGGCAATACGAGAGAAATGAGAATTTTCTTTCATTAAAAAATCTGTACGATCAGCCAAATAGAAATACAGTAAGATAAATGCATATTTCACACTAAATAAAACATAGATAAGAATTTCCGATAGAATAAAATTTCCTTTTTCTTACCTTGTGCGCAGTACTTTCGGTTCCGTAAAAGGAAAGTGTAATAAAGAATTTTGTTTTTTATAAAATCTTGATGGATAAGAAGAAGTATTATTATTATTTTCATTATTTGATGATGAAGGTGATGATTGTGTTGCTATAGATGTTGTTAATAATAACGGTGGTAATAAATGTTCACAAGATTTTTTGCGTAGATTACGTAAAAATTTTGGTATTAAAAATCGAAAACGATTTAAACCGGTGGATAAAGATGATGAATGATTTTGATTTAATATTGAGTTAGAATTATTACTACGAGAATAACTAAAACAAATTAAAATGATTTTATTTGCTTTGAAAATACTTCAATCTTTGGTCAAGTTAAGTGTGTTCCAAATTTCGAGTTTACGAATGTCTAAGTTTTCACGAAAAACTCTCTAATAGATACTCTGGACTGTGCTGAGTCGACTGGTAATGCTCAAGAAAAAAAAGCAAATAGTTACGAAATTCTTAATAATCTATGCAACGAAATATCGGTAAATATTCTTCAATGACTACCTCCAGGGTTTCTAATGGAAATCTGAAACAAAATGTATATGTACATCTTGTTTTCGTATGCAAAGTGTACACACTTGACGTTTAATACAAAATAAAGAAGTGAAAAATAGAAGAATGCTCATGCCTTTCTTTCGTAGAACAATTAGACAATAGTAGATGAACAAATACACAATAAATGCAAGTACAATTATCTATCCAAGATACGAATGATAATTTGTCTCAAAAAGAGGTCACAATGTTTCATTGTTTAGACATAATTTTTGAAATATAGATTATTCTTGAAAATGCTCAGAATTAGAAGCAAAGTGTTATTTTACTAAACAAAGTGTAACTCGTACACTCTACTTTTTGGGAAAAGTGTACCGCAGTGTGTATTTCGAGAGAAGCAAGTGTTCTACACACTTTGATTATGCTTGGTACACTTCCTGTTAGAAAAATTGACTGCCTCTTTAAAGACGCTAATATTCGAGTATATTATACATACTTTGATGAACAATCTCCATTCATTGTTGGTGCAAGTAACTGTTGATCAGCTTCGTCACCATCTTCATTAACATCTTTATTAAATGCTCCATTTATATGACAATGTCCATTAGCAATTTGATGATTATCTTTATGCTGTGTTTGTTGTTCATCATCATGATGATGATTTTGTTTATTATAGTCTAATATAATATGACTTTTACGTTTTAATATAAAAACTGATCTTACACGATAAACAATATAAATAATAAATATTGTTATTGAACAACCTAATACAAGACTAATTAAAAATTGTAAACGTGTTAATGGTGGTACTTGTGCACAACATGTACCATCATC